GACAGCATTCCCTGATATTCCCTTACATTCATATGTGTAATTCACACGTTTCTGTGAGGTGTACTCAATTCTCAAACCATTGCGTTCTTTTAGGACACGTATAAAACTCATCCAATGTTTGAACCTCCTCACATGTTTTTTTTTGACACGCGTTTTACATGTTAAACCCCTGTCACTTTTGAACATGTAATTCTACTGCAAATTGTCACATGTCTTTTTTTGAGTGAATATCGAGTTTTCTGGGAGCATGTCAGCATGAGATGCGCCTGCTTCATGTCACTTATTCACATGTTACAAAAAACGGGATCTTTACGCATATTTTCACGTGTCATTACCCTGCAACTTTCTGACGCACATTTCTCAAAACACCTTAGGTTTTCCTGGGTAGGCAGTTGGAATGACTCATTCTAACTGCCTAGAAAATTTGAATTGTCAGGACTGTTGACATGAGGAAATTTTGGCAGAAGTGTTGTGTGATATATATGTGATGTGGAAAAATAATAATTTTTCTCTATTTTTCCAATAAGCCTCACCACTGACAATGTTTTTCAATTCTATTTTGATGCTTGACGTTATATATTGTGTACCATTTCATTTGGTACTTTGACAATTTACAGCGTGTAGCATTCCAATATGTTTTATATCCAACAACCACTGCTCAAAACTCCCAATATGTTGAAGGGGTAATGGGTATTCTCATAAAGGTTTATGAAATATTGTTATTTTATAACTGCAGTATCTGCAAGTTGAGGTCATACAAAATATTCGACTTGCTTTTGAAATGTGCTTGAATCAGATTCTCAAAAGGCTCCTACAATGATGTGTGTTTTGTATCATCCATTGTTTTATGTTGTTTTATTGTTCAGGTAAAGAATCAAAATTGGAAGAATTTTCAATGTTAGAATATATTATTCTTCCTCTCAAATTTACCCATTGGATTTTATTTTCTTCAGATTCTCTGTTGTAATAAACAAATAAATGTATCAAATGTCACTTATAAGCAGCCAATTATATGATTGATGTACTTGAAACCAAGCAACTTTTGACACAGAGTTTGTCACCAAAATATATTCTGAGTGTCCTGTGATAGGTTTACAATGATGCTTCCATGCTGTTTGCATTCTACTTCCTAAATGTAAGATGCTTTCCTGCCTAGCAACGCAGCTCCAAAGCTGACAAGGTCATGACGCATACTGAATAATTTGGCACAACCAAAGTTTCCTTTATACCCAGGGTGAGTGCTTGCCCTATATTTTAAAATTTTTCCTTCCCTCTATAGACATATGAAGCTGATTGTATGAGGTGGTACACTTCTCAGCATAAAATGTCAATAATACCAAGTACACTCTCCCCTCAAAATGTTGATGTGTATTTGGTCTAGTTGTTATAGGACTGCGTGCTCCGGGTTGTGGGGTCACGGTTCGGATCCCCATGTGTTGTGCAAATTTTCATGTCATGTGCCTTGTTATCTTGTTTGAACTGTGTGTGTGTGTTCCGTTACATTTTATATTGTGGACCATTCAATTTGGTACTAAGACAATTTGAAATGTGTAGCATTCCGTTACGTTCTGTATTGTGTACCATTCCACTTGGTAGTGTCACAATATAAAACATGTAGCATGCTGTTACGTTCTATATTGTGTACCATTCCATTTGGTACTGTTACAATTTAAAACGTGTAACATGCCAATAGGTTCTATATTGTGTACCATTCCATTTGGTAGTGTCACAATATAAAACATGTAGCATGCTGTTACGTTCTATATTGTGTACCATTCCATTTGGCACTGCAATAATTTGAAACATGTAGCATTCCGTTACGTTGTGTATCATGTACCATTCCATTTGGTACTGTCACAATTTTAAACATGTAGCATGACGTTACGTTTTACAACGTGTACCATTCCATTTGGTTGTTCTACGACTCAGAATGTGTAGTAAATTTTTTTTAATGTAAGCTCTCTCCCACAACTCTATTTCATGCTACACCACCAATACAATAAGTCTTGGTCATCATTAAATGGCATTCATTCATGCCTATAGCGTTTAATTTTAGTTGCAAATTACATGTCTTTAACGCGTCATTTTAGAACACGTCACCTCACACAGTTTTAATGTGTAACAATAAAACGTGCAAATTTTGGTGTAACGAGTGTTCCATTCACAACATGTTACAATTCCTGTTTTTATACTGGAGTGCTGAGCATGACTTTTCATGCATCCAAATTCATGGCCCATGCACATGTTTTTTCCATGTTTTATGACGCGGTTTTGTTTTCCTGGGATGTAAAGATTTATGTGAAACAGCATTCAAAGAAGTTTGACAGAAACATTGTGTTACATGGGCCTGTTTTCGAGTTAAACTGCAGGGAGCCTAAAAAGATAGTGGAGGTACAGTTGTGAAAGAGGAAAAAACCAGAACAAAAAAGTGCACACAAAAATAGCAATTATTCTTGCAAATCTGTTTACCCTTAATGGCAAGGTTGTTTGTCAAGGGTCAGGTCTCACAGTCATTCTCAACGCACAGGGGACTGCAAACTGGTGTTCAGCACCACAGTGCTGTGCTTCAATATTAGCAAGCAGGGAGGGGTGTCTCACCTAAAAATTGAAATACTTTTTGCAAGGACATTTAAATAACATGACTTTGACTCAGGCAGCATATTCTTGAGTCCAGCAAACAGTCAGAGTTTGGAGATCTTGTCAGCAACATTGGAGTTGACAACATCAGCCTGCATTACAGTTTTGTGTTTTTGGGAAGTGAAAATTTAATCAAGTAATCAAGTAGTCTTCCCCTTATTCCAACAACCTCCATTAGGAATTCCAGTGCGGCAAATACTTCCTTAAAATTGACATAATTATCAAAAGGGTCAACAAGCAAAAGAGTATGTGATGGCAGGTGCTGCATTGATGGCAATTGCAGGAATTGGCATGGGTGTTGGAATGTGTGTTTCCAGAAGTTGTCTAAGCCAGGTAAGTTTAATTTCATTATTTATAAAAACATTTCAAATAATTAAATATTTAATTGTGATATTTATTTTTGAAGGCGTATAGTGGAAATGACATGGTGTTTGGCATTAGGATGTACTTTGTGGGTATTGAGTACGCAATGGCAGGTGCACTTGCCGGAACTGCGGGAATGGGCATTTGTTTGAGAATGTGTGTTTCCAAACAAATTCTAAGCCACCTAAGTTGATTCAAAATATTGCTAAAAACATTTCCAAGAATTACTTATTCCACGTTGTTCATGAACTTGTGCTATTGTTAAGGCCGATAGTGCTGGAAGCCTAGTGGTGGAAGTGAAAATGTTTGAAAATGTAACCATCAAGGACAATACAGGCATGGAAATGCCGTTGGTGGCGTTGGGAGGAGCTTCATTGGAAGGAATATCAACAAAAATGACAATAAATGTCCTTATTGAGTATAGACCATCTGTATAGAGCGTGATGAGATAGAGCATTTCCCAATTGGGCACAATATTTTGGGTGATGACAATCAGTTAATTTTTTCCATTTTGACAGAAAAATTCGTTTTTGTCACTATTTGTACAACTTTTTTTTTGCTTGGAATGTATTTGGTTGACTTTGGGAAAAACTTCCTCAGGGAAAGAATACATTTGCTGGTGTTTGTTTTTCTGGAATTTTCTTCCTTTCTGTGTTCTTCCTTATGGTCAAACTAAAAAATGATATGCTTCTCATTGCAGGGAAGTGCTTCATGAAGCCATCAAAGGAATTTGCAATAAAGAAAGAGCAGTGAATGTTGAGCAAAAAGAAAGCTGTGAGAAATACAGAATGAGAAGGTGTTCTACTCAGGAGGACCTAAACCTGTACAGTTTACACATTGGAAATGTGGAGTATCAGAGGTAGAGTATGCAAAAGAGTGGTATGATAGGAAAGATAACCATGGCTTAAAAAATAAAGAAAAAACTGTAAAAGAAGAAGATGTCTCATACTTGTGATGCTTGAAGTGGTTCTTTGCAGATTGTGTTTCTGTGCTGAAGAAAATGTTCTGCTTCTTGTAGCTGCCTTCTGAATCTGCTGTTTTGTACATTCTGTATGCGTTGCCTTGCACATTCTGTAGGTGTGGTTTTTTATGTTCTTCGGGCATTGTTTTGAGAACGTTGTATGATGAAGCAAACTTTTAATCACTTCTACTCTAATGTTCTCATCTTCCATTTCCTGATACATTGAAACATAAAGCCAAATGAACACATATACAAAGCTTGGCATTGCAACAAAAATTGCAAGTACAGTGAAAGGTCCACATGTTCACAGACAATTTGACAGAGGGACACTTATTTCTCTAGAGAATTTTTGTCAGCCCCACCATGCAGATGCTGGCTCGAGATGCAGACATTGCAGGCTAAAATTTCAGACACAAAATTCAATTAATCAGCAGGAATGAAAAGAAACCAATACTTTCAAAGCATGCAAAATAAAGGCTTATTCAAGAGAAATTCCTTGGCATACCTTTTCATAGTTTTTAATTTAATTTTGCTTACTGTGAAAAAGTAACTCCTGCCTTCTATTTTCTTTTTGACTTCAATGATCTTGTTACACGGTCTTCCAATCACACTCCAAACAATGAACATGTGTCACTTCTCACACTTCAGGAGCTCCACTCTACCTTCTAACCCCACTCTGTACAATGAACAAGCAACCCTTCTTTCAATGAATGAACTGCTCACAATTTTCTAACCCTGCTCTGTACAACAAACAAGCCCTGATTCTTGCAGTAGAAAAGTGCAGCACTATTTTCTAACACAGCTCTGTACATTGAACATGTGCTGCTTTGTGGAATGAAAGAGCTCTACACTTTCCCCCTACTCCATACAATGAACATGCTCTGCTTCTTCCAATGAAAGAGCACTACGCCATTTTCAAAGCCCTCTCCTGACAATATACAAGTGGCCCTTCTTTTATTCATTACCTGCACATCTGAATATGGGTCTGGTACCTGTGTTACAAGCCCGCGCCTTCCTCAACATTTAAATAGCATGTGTATCAAGATATGACAGCACCTGCATGTAACAGACAGGCATATTGCAATACGCCTGTCTCTTATGGAAATCACCCATACAGATACATCTCAGTGGGCGTATCACAATACAGGTGATTGTAACCCATGTGATACCAGTTAGATGTGGGTGAAAACCTGGGCAATCTGCTGCAGGAAAAATTGCTGCTACCCTCAGGCCCCAAAGTCAACAGAAATTGTCCAGGCATAGCAGTAAAAGCTGGACATAACTGATGGCTATGCACAGCCACCACATGTTGCTATGCATACCTGTTACATCCAGCTTGGGCCTTAGAAAATTGTTTGCAGGGATAAACTGTACTCACTGTTGGCATGGACTTCATTTTGTTTCCCACGTTTGGAAGCAGCAGGAGGACTTTCTTCTTTGTCATATCCATCATCAGATTCACTTGTTGTGCTTTCACTGAATCTGCGCCTTTTCTGTCCTGCATTTGCAAGTCAGGATACATATTTTGAATAACAAATCCATGCATCTTATCAAGTTATAAATACCACTACTCAAATAACCATCACATTAATTTGAAATCAGGAACTGCTGGAACATACTGTTGGTTCTACAGTCAAAGCTCTTTCAGTAAAATTTCAAAAGAGACAAGAGCTAAATTGAGTCTGGGAAATGAGTGTCTCTTTGCTGTGGAAAAAATAGAAAAATTGCAGGAAATTGTAAATGGTAATATTCTGGGCAATAAGTTGCTTCTCTTCAAATGAGTTGACAGGTTGCTGAACTTAAAGGCAATGGTTCAATTTTTCCAATGAGTCTTTGAGGTTTGAGAGGAAATCCCTTAAAATTGTGATGTGTTTTAATGAACTGTTTCTAAGGGAATTCAGAAAGGGACTTGAAAATAATTATATTTACGGAGTTCAGAGTTTTTCGAGGTTCAATCTTCATAAGAGTAGTGCACAAAAATTTAAGCTGCTTGATACACATCACTGGTACATATAAGGTATACCTTTCGATTGTCTGATTCGCTGGGAACGCCTCTGCACCACTGCTGCACCTCCATCCTTAATGCTTTCATCAACTTCTGCTGACGGCAACTCATGTATTGCGGAAGAACTTTGAGAGATTTCTTCGCTAGGCGCTAAAGATACATCAGATGAGAAGGAAGAAACAAACGTCACCGAAGAAATATAACATACGAACACTTTCCAAAGGATTGCAATAAACACGTTATTTACCTTGTACTGGGGATTCATCTGGTTCTTCCAAATTTTGTTCCATACTTGAGTCAATTGCAGCAGTTTTGTCACTTGTAATGTAAACCTCTCTTCGCAGTGTTTCAACTTCAAGGCAGGAAACACTTGAAGAATGCGTTTCAGGATTGTCATGCATTGCTGCTTTCTTCTCATCCAAAGTTTTGAAAGGGAATTCTTCTTTCAGTTCTTCCATACCTGATGCATCAGTGTTTCAACTTCAAGGCAGGAAACACTTGAAGAATGCGTTTCAGGATTGTCATGCATTGCTGCTTTTTTCTCATCCAAAGTTTTGAAAGGGAATTCTTCTTTCAGTTCTTCCATACCTGATGCATAGCATTTTATGAGACTTTACATTATTAGTTTTTATTTTATTCATATTTATGTTGTAATTATTGAACTTGTGCATTTGATGAATGATTGTTTCATATACTATATGTCACGTACTGAACAGGAAATCGAACTAGAAGAAGCACATTCGAAACATGCCCAATGGCTTTACAAACTCATCTTCTGTAAAAAAAAAAAAAGTTAAACTAAGATTGGAAAGAGTTGGATTGGGGGATTTTCTGCGAATATATCACAGCTAAAAATAAGCTAATGCAACTACAGAACTCTGGGACAATGCGACAGAAATCATCTAAATTCTTTGAATTCATATGTCAACTGATGGGTCAGATGGGAGAAATATAGTCTTTGACCCAGACAGATATGCATTCACTTCAGAAAAATGTTGTACACAGGAATACTGTGATACAAATATACTTCAGTAATGCATGAACAACAAACCTCCTCTGCAAGTTTGAAGATGTTGCTCGTGTTTGACATCCACGGAAAAAAAGTCTTTGATGTCCAATCCATCTTGCACACATCCTCCTTCTGCAGATTCTATCTTAACAATGACCGGCAGCACACAGTTCTCCATACCTGCATATCCATGAATTCAATTGAAATTTTGAAAACTACAGTACATCAATGATTGCGAGATTGATACTGCACTGTACCTTTTCTTCAGACGCAAGAATGATCCTGGCTGAATGGAGCAAAAGGAAGCCTTTAAAACTGAATCAAACCACCAGAATCAAGGGAAAAAAAACCTCCTGAAAACAACAGCAGAATTAATTCACGTGAAAATTTTCAAATTGTTGCACAGTGGAAAAAGCTTTCATCAGAAAGGAATTCAATCAATATCACAGGATAATTTTTTCTTTTCAATTTGGGGATGTTTCCGCAGGATCCAGACTAAACCCTCACATTCAGCAACACTAGCGCGTTCCTAGTGTTCCAGCACATCACTCATCATAGAACAAAAGTAAACCATGCCCTATTATCCAGGAAGCTGAAGGCGAAAAATTGAGGGATTGTGGGACTGAAAGATGATGGTAGAAAATATTATTTCAATGTTGAAGCATTTACACACTCTTGCTTACTTTTTTTCAGGCTGTCTCTCCAGACATTCATGGAAAAAAAAAAGACTTAGATAATGCAAGATTCTTAATACTGTATAGTGCAGTAGCATGATTTTACAAAACAAAGTATCCATCAACGTGGACGTGCTTTAACCATGTCGGTGAAGCTCACCAAACAGTTTTCCATACCTGCATCATAGACTAGGCAGGCAAAACACGCGGCGAAACACAGGTTCTTAATTTGAATCATCACAATGCACTTTTGAAAATCCCCGATTAGAAAATACCACACAGGTCTCTGAAAAAATAAAGAGCAGCATTAATTATACGCATTAACAAATGCCAACATACAAAGCGGATGAATCACAAATGCTCAACAAGGTCCTTGAGCAGAACTGCTTTCTTGAATTTGAAGACTCACATGAAATGAAAAAAAAATCACGTTTCCACGAATTATGAATCTGGGGTTTATTTTTTAAAGCTGAAAAAAAAGAAAAATCAGGAATTGAAGCTCCGTTTTCCCAGCAAAAAAAAAAAAAATGAAGCATCCATATAGCAGGCTTCTCCAGGATAAGTCCCATGGAATGTCCTCTCAGGATCATTTGTACTAGCATTGTCCAATGGGATTCTGTTCACTGTGCGTTGTTCAACGTTCATATACCAGGGCTCACAAAAATTTCAAACCGTAAGAAACGTACGAATTATTCAATTAAAAAAAATGTACAACACACAAAATGCATGCACACATCATGCTCCTACCCGTAACAAAAGATGCATACAAAATATGAAAAAAGTTTCAGCGTACGGAAGGAGCATCGAAATTGCGATAACCTGCCCGATCATTGGTGAACAACTAGTGCGAAAGTTTGAGTCGTAATTATGGCACACGTACGTGTCGGAAGAGAAGTGGGTCCACTATTATGAGAAAAAGGAACTAAAGAAATAGGAACTGCGCAACGCTCAGAGAGTTGGCACGTTCCTCATGACGAAACCGCCTGATGCCTTCATTCAGTTGAATCCTGCGACGTATGTAAAAATATGTTTAAATTCAAGTTACCTACGAGGGCTGTCTCATTTGACCTTGGGTATTTCTAGACTAGGTACCAGTTTTTAAAAGATGTATCATTTAGCCCATCCTATTTTAAGGTTCTGGGATTTTTTTTAAAGAATTCTAGATTCACTGCAAGACAAAAGGTGAAAACCTTCCAGTTTCGGCAAGGGTTTTCCATCCATATCAGAAGCTCTTGAGAAATTTTCGTGGTATACAAAAAATTTTCATTGTTTTCAAAACAATACAGTATTTCCTACATTTTCTGTAATCTTCAAAATGTTTTAATGAATATTTTTTTGCCACAAATGAAAACCCAAGTCCATTTTGAGTTTTTCCAAAAGCAATTATCAATTTCCGGGACAAGCCTTGCACATGTTGAATACTTCTACGAATGAATTCCAGAATGACCGTACAGTAATAAAGTTATAGAAGACCTTAATGACTTCGGTGGATTTCTGTTCCCCAACACGAAGGATTCTTCTTCTTCGTCCAACACTTCATGCCGTGATGGCTTATGCCTCCTCCTCCTTCTCGAGTTTGGTGGTGATTCGGGAGGTGGATTCATCTTGAAAAATGTGTAGAAGAAGGACATGAGTCCTTGTAGCTTGTTCAATGGCTGAAAATAAATGCAAAGCTTGTAAGAAGTAATCTTTAAAATAACAAATTGGAACTTACAATCCTCAAGTCCTCCTTCATCACGCGATGCTGAAGATTCAGAGGTCGATGGTCACGGTCCAAAACATCTGGATCATCCTGGCTTTCTTTAAACTGCTGGGCATCACGTTCTGCAACATTTCTCACAGGACCATCACTACATGGTTCCTCTTCATCATCATCATCATCTGCTGATATACAGTAGTAAATGTATCAATGCATTACAGTTGAACCTTGATAAACTTCTGTAAGTCGAATTTACTCTTTCAAGTCCACGTCAGAATCCTCTTAGAAACAATGCTTTAAAAACCTCTCTAATAACGCTACGGCTTTTCTCTCAAACCTCCAAAACTCAAATTTTCTGAGGCCATTCCGGTTTTAATTTATAGATAAAGGAAAGAAAAAAAGCAACTTGATGTGTCTTAAAGGGAAATGAAGGACTACAATTGGGCAAATGAACCCAATAGTCTCCAAAAGTTCCGCATCCTGTCAACTCAGGTGACAAGCAATTTAAAGCCCAGAATATGACTATTCACAATTTAATGCAATTCTTCTATGCTTCTCACAAAAAAATGCGTGTTTCCCTGACTGGAAACCTCCCTAAGGCAAAACTTATCCAAGTCGAATTTTTCTGCTGGCCACTTGAATTACAACTTTAAGCTGGTTTGACTGTATAGTACAGTATAACATGTCCACTTCATATAAACAACCTGTTTTGTACACACAGGTGTTTCATTCTCCAAAACGTCCAGACATTTCATTCAAGCATTTTCGTTTTCTGACCTATTGATTTTGCACTCTTGTCATTGCAGCAGTAGACTTGCAACATGATCCTCTTGTGAAAGCATTTCATCAACAGAAAATGCATGGCTTTACTTCTTGGGCTCCTTGCCTCCTTCAGATGATGCATGTAGAATACCTGAGAATCGCAATCAAGTGACGGTACATATATTATTGCATATTGTCACAAAAATTGCTTAAAATTATTCACCAGTTTCTCTCGCTTGTCATCATCAAACAGCAAAGTATCGAAATCAAGGAGTTCGGCTCTTGTTTTGATAGGTATCTGGAATCCCAATTGCGAAGGAGTAAGTTTCTCCTCTGCAAATGGAATATTAAATATTAATGAGTTGAAAAAAACCCTACCATATCCAAGGAATGTCCCACTTCTGATTGGAGTATTTCTGGAGTAGGTACCAGTGTAAAAAAAAATGATGTAGCCCATGAAATTGTAAGGTTCTGAGATTTTTTCAGATTTTTATAAAAAATCCCTGCTTTCTGACCATGGGGCAGAAGATAAAACAAAACAAAACAGCAGTTTTTCTCACAGATCGAAGTAGTGAGAAACATAACAGCAGAAACCACAGCCCTTCAATAATGTTTTTGAAGAGGAAAAAGAAATTGAAAATGAACCCTTTCTCTTGGAAAAATACAAAATGCACTAGCGCGTCGGTTTTCAATTTTTAAAGACAAAAAAATCAATGAATAAATAAAAACTAAAATTGCACAAGATGTGGGAAAATTTGCACTAAAAACAACAAAAGATTTAAATTTTCTGCCCGGCCCAACTCGTGACATAAATACCAGCTCGTGACATAAATTAAGAACTCTCATCGATCTGGAAAGTTTCCAATTATCATCATGCAGTAAATATAAAAATGTTCATAAAAATCCTTCTAAAAAATCCCAGAACCTCACAATTGCATGGACTGAATCACAAACATACTGTATATTTTCTTTACAGTGGTACCTACTCTAGAAATACTGAAGGCCAATCAGAAGTGAGTCTACCCTCGCACGTCAGCTCACCTTTCAATCGTTTGGGTACCGACGGACCATCAAAGAACCTTGTCAACTCTTCGCGTATGATTCTCTTCAACGATTCAGCATAACTCCTTTCTTCCTTGCGTGCAAGTGCTTCTTCTCTTAATAAAACGGCAGCTTCTCTTGATGAAATGGCTGCTTCGTTTTTCGTCACGTCATTCATCAACTTGAGCATTTCAACGCAAGTCTTTTCCATGAGAGATAAGCAATTTATCAGTCTCATCTCCTTTGTAGCGGGAGCAAGTAGAGAAGTCAGGCTGCCTTTAAATCGAATACAGCCTGTTAATATCTTGCTAGACTCGAAAATGACACTGCTTCAGGTATCAAATACAGTACCTGCAGATGACGTAGAAGGCATTTCAACGTCACTTTCATCAATGATTCGTAGCATCTTCTCCGGCAAATATTGCGTCACAAGTTCCGCAGTTGTCAAATGTGGTCCAGGAAATGTGTCATCATTGTTCCCTGAGGCAAAACATCCTTCTGAAACACAGCAAGTAAATTCGGTATACCTTTTTTTGTTTATGAAATAAATTCTCTAAACTTAGCTTGAATCAAATTGTTCTTAGCTTGTAATTCAGAAATGATTTGAATGCAAAATCATAATCATGATTCAAATTACTACGGTTAAAACGAAATAAGTTGTGATGAACAGAAGGCATACTTCTTTTGCGTCCAATTCTTTCTTCTTCAGAAAAAGCAATGACACTGCTTTCTACCGGCACATCAGGGATAGAAGATGCGTCTTCGCCTGTTTTGTCAAATTTTGATGCACCTGGAGATGAAGGATACATCTTTTATTGACAGGTACGCGTAATGGACAAAAGCCCCTTGAAACTTTTCTATTCAACAAAATCCCGGCTGAATCGAACATCTCATTTCTCAACTCTAGATCCAAGATTCAATTGAAACAATTCTCTTCTCGCTTCCCTTTCTCAACAACGAAATTGCTCTTCTGAGCCATAGAGAACATGCTGAACTTCACTCAACTCTGCAAAGAAGTTTTGAACACATGCTCCGCGAAAAATTCACGAATTGTTACATTTACGCGATCATATGACTTACAGGTATTCAGAAGAGGATTAAGAATCAACATTCGAGAGGAACAGTAATTACTAAAATAATATACCTTCACAAGAGGATTCGGGTTCTTCGTTCCTTCGCGATCCAACAACAACATCTTCTCCAACACCTATCGATGCCGCAAAGTTGAGAGAAAATAGGTCATCCGGACCTAAATACGCGGATTCTTTTCAATAGAAGAAGACTGAACACCGGCATAATGCAGTTCGGTTATGCAACATGAACAGTGCTGCCCAAAACACTGCCCGCGGGCCAGACCTGGCCCACAGAGACGTTTCATCTGTCCCGCGGACCATTCTCTATAATTTTCAAGGCGGAAGCCACCGAAATTCAAAATAAATGTTGAGAAAAAATTAAAGATATTGTCCCGCCCTTCAAAAATCATAAAAATCTTTATGTTGGCGACGCAAATCCTTGGCACTGACTGAAATACGTAAAACTGTTCATTTGATAGGACCTCAAAAATCATTGTATACTGTGGCCCTCAATGACTCTCTAACTCTGCATTGTGGCCCGTAATAAATAAAAAAAAAAATTATTAATGCGGCCCTTTTGGTCTCATCTGAGTTGGACAGCACTACAATAGTGCAAAACGAAATACCTCTGCAAGTTCTCAGATGTTGCTCATGCTTGTCATCCACTGCGAAAAATTCCTTGGTATCCAATCCATCCTGCTGGTCAGACATACAACCTCCTTCAAAAGTTTCCATCTCAACAATGACTGTCGAACAGTTCTTCACGTCTGCATTTCCATGGATTACAAAATGCACAGCATTAGGATCTGCAAATCTAGTGATAAATTCTGAAATGATTACCTGTCTTTCAGACTCCGGAATAACTCTGGCTGCGGTAGAAGGATAGATGCCTCCAAAACAGGATAATTAATCCGCCAAATTAATAAAAAACAGGCAACCTGAAAAAAATGCTTAACAGCAGGTTTATAGTTTATGTAGACTGCAAAAATAATCACAAAAACTAAACATTATTGATAGGAAAAAAATTGTTTTTTTTATTTCTAAACCCACACATTTCAACGAATTATAGAACTGGAAACACCAAAACGAACAATAGTATACAGTATAAAAGTTATAATCGTTTGCGAGTCATACTTCTCTCCTTTTCAGAGAGAGCTAATGAGAAAATCAGTTGATAGAAACAAGTTGCGTGATCCAGGTATAAATGTTATTGAAAAACTGCTGTAAAATCTCGCTGCACATAAGGGAAGGATTTCTGCCCATGCCGAATATACAGCATTGAATAATTTTTATGGGCTATTGAATCACTTCTTTGCCTCATTCACTGAAGCTTATACATCCTTGAAGAGTGAAGACAGTAATCCCATAATGAGTGGGTTGATAAAAACTGAAGCAAGGGTATCACTGAATGAAATTGGCAACTTGGCATGAGTGATACTTATTTCTAGCTTTTCCATGAAGAAAGGCTTGTATGCAGAGGTATAGTTAGTTTGTGTGATGAAAGAAAATACAGATGCAGACACTGGAAACTTGCACAAATATCAGGTATTCATCAGCAGTCATAAAAACTGTGGATTAAAGAAGTACAATAAATGTTCTAGTAACATCAAAATTAAAAATTCGGGATAATTCTCACCATATCACAGATCTTCAGGTGGCTTACACAGTGTAATTGACAGGTTGCGGGGTAAAAAAACCATGCTGAATTGTATTTGAACAAAGAAACAGCAGCTCATTGTAACCACATTTCAGTCATCACTGCAAATCCTCTCCTTCCCACATGACGTCTGTTGTACTGAAATATTTCCATCTTCTTCAGGGATTTTTGAGGACGAGTCTTCTTGCTCACGCATCTCATCACCCTTCTCAGTACGTTGTCCATTGCCAGATGATCTCGTCTCTTTCATGCGGCGACGAACTTTGTCTATGAAGTTTCGATCCGAACCCTTGCTTGGAAAGCTGTCAGTTTAAAAAAAATGCATGTATATTGAAAATTCAAGTCGAACCGTGATAACATCAAGATCCATGAGTCAAATATCTCTCCATGTCGAATTCTTCTCAATGCCCTCAATACTGTAATTTCCTTAGAAAATAAATGCTTGGGTTCGGTTGTGGTAGAATGCCAGTACACGAAGTTACGAACAAAAACCAAACTTGCCTCGCCATGACTTGTTTCATGGCCTCCCGAGTTGAAATCGAGGGATTCTCTCGGAACAAATTCTCAGCCAGTTCTGCTGCCCTCAAGTCCTCCTTGAGGGAAGCACAAAACGAAGCACACATTTCAGCATGTCCTCTACTTTCTCTTGCCATCAATTCTGGAAAATACACTCTTGCTCTTCCATGGCAGTTTTTGTTGTAGCATCTTACTGATACACTACTACAATTTTCATGGGAATCCCTTCCGCTTGACCAGTGCTTCCCTCCAACTCTGATATAATAATAGTCACCGGAGTCCATGACGCAGTGATAGAGCGTTGAACTTTTCGTCCTCCCTGGCACCTCGATTACTGGCAGATAATTCATGGGCTTGCCAGTAGGATCAGCAGACTCCGGAGCACCGGCCACTTCGCACGAAGATGAATCTGCAAGGGATACAAAGAAACATTAGAATTCACAACGGCAATCGTTTCCATCCTATGACTGAAGCTTTTTGACGCATTAAATTTGAATAAATCACAAATAAAGATTAGGACATGCAAAACTTAAAAAAATTCAAACTCGAGAGACATTCTAGAAGCAGGGAAATGAGGCATAGAAAAAGGAAGCATCAGATATGAGAAATCTACGAACGGATTCAAATTCCTTTTCCTCGTGACATTCAACTCTTTCACCGTTCAATTCTTCGAATATTTTAGAGGATCTCGCATTTTATAAGGACATATACATCGGCCAGCTGACTGCTGCTATCCGTGTGACCACTCAAATTACCAAGCCAATTCGTCTTATTATAGCAATATTCGGGCAACCATCAACAAATTAATCTCCCACACATGATTTGTGCAATCTTCCATAAAAAATTAATTATAATCCGTTATGCATTGCACATTATTCCTAATTACGGTATATCATTAAAAAAACAACGCAAATACTGCACTGTATTTGCTTGAGAACTGCGCAACTTTTTTTTTTCAAAATTGAGAGGGGGAGGGGAATTACAGGCAATGATACAATTTTCAAAGAACATTAAAAGTTCAAGTGTGCATCACACGAAGATAACAGGACATTTTTTTAAGACATATTTAAAAAAATTGAAAATTCATAGCGTCAAGGTTGGATTTTCCATCACCAAAAATAGGGTGCGTCGCATATTAGGGGATGAGATTTCTTCAAGATTTTAGGGTGAAAAATTAGGGTTAGTTTCCTACATGTTAGCAAGCTGTATTAGAGTAAATTTATACAGTGATATTTCAAGGTGAAATGAACAAAGACCACGATAATCACCTTCACGGCAACCTTCAGAAGATTCTGAGGATGGATATAATTTCGCAGCATCAAAGGTACGATCATCTGTCTGGTTTGCTATAAATGAACAAGGACCCCGAAGATCAGACGTTCCTGATGTTGGACATAATCTCGCGGCAGTAAGGGCCACAGTATGGTTTGTTCCAAGTGTTCCCACTACTGTCCAGGCTGAAAATGGACCTGCGCCTCCCTGCAACAGTAAAATACAATTTCTCCATGCATACGTGTACAGTATAAGCAATATATACACGGATCAACAATTAAATCAATCTTACCGCTAGCAATAATTGTCCTCCTGCTTCAATCTGCGGTTGTTTCACTGCTATCTGACAATATTTTGGGAAGGGGCCCATCTCATCCTGGGATTTCACTCTGATATGATCAACCTTCATTGGAAAAGCACAAAATTCAATCATCAAAATCCTAACACAGTTGAAGGTTCAGAAACAGCAATGCATCAGGAATTACTTTTCTTTTCCTGGTATGCGATGGATTCACTGTATCCAGTTCCAGTGGATCAGCCAAAGCACTAATTGTTGCTGGAGAGTCAATCGGTTCCTGCAAATCCGCATCCTCATATGTCAAACAATTAAATTCAGCAACTGATGGTTCATCATCGTCCGAAAATGGATTCTCTTGAAGTTCAGTTTTCAGCAGCTTTTCGGAAGTACAGAAACAAAACAAAAAATTACACAGTTCTTGCTGATGGTAATATCGTGTAACCATATTCATTGCTTACATTGGATTGACAGCATTCGATGAATGTTTCCACATCATTCGCACATTTGGACAGTTCTACATCGTACGCACGCTGCTCTACGATCTTCTTGGTCAGCATCAACACTTCTGCACATCTTGCACATTCCGAATCGTCATTTGAATTTGCCAGGAAAATGTCGACACATTTCAATAACAGAAATACTTCTTCGGGTCGCTGGGAATGGATGAACTTGACCAAGTCCAAACTCTTGCGACATCCTACGCACTCATTCGTACTCGTACCAACTGCAAGAAGAAAATCAACAATGATCGCTTATTGATTTTCTCAATTTTCTAATAAACCAGGCAGCAAAAAGAAAACCAAAAACAATTAACCCCTGTATAATTCAATATCAATATCCATCAACTCATCGAGTATAAAAGAAGCTTTAAAAATTCTGAACTTCGCGATTTTCGCATTAACGCTTTAAAATTCGATCATCGAATTCACCTTGTGAAGTTGTTTTATGTAGTTCCTTTGTCACGGGATAATCTGTACATACGTCTTCAGGATCTTCAACTGAAAGATAATCTTTCTTGTCCTCGCATTCATCAGTAACAGCCACCACACTTTCCTCTTCCTCGGGTTCAATTTTGCAGGTGAATATCCAGTCATTCTCCATTCCTGCATATTGATTGTATGGAAGTTCATGAAATGTTGATAGTTGCCTATTGAAAGGACTACAGTATATTCAATAATTACCTCTTCTTAACACGTACTGCGATTCTATCGCAGATTGATGAAAGATTTTTTTTCACTAACAAAAAAGAATCAGTCTGGACAAAGACCACCAAAAATTCGACCTGTGAAAAATACAGAAGAAATATTAAATACATACACATACACACACAGTTCGAACTATTCAGCAAAATTACTGAGACGCGATTGATGACACCAGGATTTTTAAATTCACTCTTCTCACATTCACAATGCGCAGTTAATGGTTTCATTGACAAGGGTTGCAACTGTAGGCCCAGGTTGTTGATGTCAACAGCTGCAGGGCTTTTTCCTGGATGTATTCCTTTGCGCTTGACGTATGGCTTCATCTTTCTCTTTGTACTTCGGTTTTTGTCCTGAAATGTGAATTCATGTGGAATGATGAGACAATGCTAAGTGATTTGCAGTTATTCAGAGTATGTCTCTGTTTTTTCGGGCTGAAATTAACTTACAGCAGTAAATAAGTTATACTGCATCATGGAATAAAATGGAACCTTACTTTCAATACCTGGTGACCTGCCCGTTTCTGACTTGATGGCAGATTCGTCTATCCATTTCTTGCGTAAGTCGTCCTGTAGACCGGTTATTGGGGCAGCCGCGACCAGTTGGTCAAACAGCATTTTTTGACAAATCATCTAGGCCAGTGGTGCCCAACTCAGAAGTGGCAAAGGGCCACATTGAAAAAATAGAGCATTATGCGGGCCACAAAGGAAAAAGGTACAAGAAATGTTGTACATGTACTGTGTAATTGCTGGGACGGTTGAAACTATTTTTTTTTCTACACAAAAATTCAAAAAGGATTTCAGGATTTTCATGATCTGTCTTTTTTCATCAACAAACTTTTTTGCTGCATTTTTTTACTGATAAACTTCAACTTGTATCTTCATTACTTCATGATGACTGAATTTTTGTTCATGGAATCATAATATTCAANTGAATTTTTGTTCATGGAATCGTAATATTCAATCTGCATAACTTTTCAAAATGATGCAACTGAAGTCCAAAAACAAATAAGCAACTGGCAACTGAAAATTTGGAGTGATTTTAAATGTTGAGACTACTTTTGGCTGAAAGAAAAATAAAAGCCTGTGTTTTGGAAAGTAAAGAACTAATGTGAAGAAATATGGTCTCTAATGATTTCACACAATGCATAACATTTATTTAAAATTTAAAAAATTGGTCTATGTACAAAGAAGCAATAATGATTCAACCTCCCAAAACATCAAATATACAAGGCCTTTTTGGGATGGTCAAAGCCAGGATATGTATCTGGCATGAAGTCAGGTGACGTGGGGGATTTTTCATGAAGTTTTTATTAATCAATGAGCCACTTGAATTAACATTTGGATCTAGAATAAATCCAGACTGACAATTTGAGACAGACATTTTTGGAGACAGGGACAATTTGTGACAGAAACTTCTGGAGGCAGGGATTATTTGAAGTAGATACATTTTGAGGCGGGATAATATGAGACATTTTGAGATAGAAGCATTTTCAAAAATAAAGTGGGGGATATGAGGACAACCAGGAAGTGTGCATTTGAAAACTCCCTAAAAATCACCAAGAATCTGAAGAAACCCAGAAAGTGTGTATGTATAAAATATATCTTGTGTGCAGAGTTGCTTTGGGCAAGGCTCAAATTGTCCTTGTCTCTAAATGTCCATGTCTCCAAGTGTCCCTGTCACTGAATTGCTTAGGCTCAAATTGGACCTCTGTCTTGAATTGGCCCTCTGTCTCAAATTTTCCCTGTCTCAAATTGACCCTGTCTCAAATTTTCAATCTCAATCGGCCCAGTGTTGAATTGTCTTTCTCAATTTTTTCACGTGACATATGTATTTTTACATGATTCTTTGTTGATATGTTAATTTCAGGCTATTGAGAAAATTAAGCCACTGTACATCCTTCACCTATCAAGGGATGCAATTAAATTTAAAAAAAACACAACAGAAAATTCTGGGGTAATATTTAAATTCCAAGATTGCAAAACCCTGCCCTTTCATTTGATAAACAGAACCACTGACATCACAAATTAATCCATACTGTTCTATAGGTCTTTCTTTTTACAAGGAATTGTTACAATATTTGTGAAGCCCTACTATAATTCCTCATCAAAATTGCAGACTGAAGACGTCTTGAAAAATTTACAATATTTACTTCTTATGGTCTTAATTTTTTGGTGGTGAACTTTCATGCTGTCTTGGCGGGCCAGATTTTAAGCCTCCGCGGGACAGATCTGGCCCGCGGGCCGTATCTTGGGCACCCCTGACGTTGCGTGACCCGAGCACAGCATCCTTGCTCATTAAAGGCTGCATACTGTGTTCATTCATTCATTCTTACTTATTTGTTGTTAAATCAGCCTGACAGTTCTAAGAACAGTATATTTCTTCGAAAGGTGCTGCGCTGTAAACCATAACTTTATTTGTAGGCATTGAATTGCTCCCATATCATGAGTAATGCATTTTGCTGAAAAACATTTCATGATTTCAGAAAATATTAAATAGCCCTGAATTGCTCTGGCTTCAACACTATTCATCAGGTTGTGATTTTTTTTTCTTGTCAAAGCAATTGCCAGAATACCCAGTCTCTGCAGCCAAACTGGGGTTTTGAAATACACTGAGACCCCCAGATGTGGATGTAATTGGTGCATCAAGAGTGTACCTATGTTAAATTGTCCCTAAGTTGAGTCTTGTTTTCCCATGGACATACATTATATAATTTTTAATTGGTGTTTTATGGAAGAGATATTCTTCAGAATTACGTGAAACAAATTGTTTGTCACTTGAATTTGATTCAGTGAATATCTTTTCAACTTAATAAGAATATTTGGAGCATTGAATAGTGTATATCTGTACTGTACATTGAAATGTTGGCATCTACAAAAATAACATTCAGGTCACAAAGAGAGAAGGAAGTCCCTTTATGCAATAAATACTCTTTTTAATTAGCTGAATGGATTGGAAACTGATGGGAGAAATGACAAATAATTTTTCTTGCATGAATCTTAGGGTTGGAAATATCTGCTTTTTGCAATCAAGCCAAATAAAATTCAATTTTTATGAAATTTATTGGAAATTTTATCACACGATGTCCTCATGCCAAGTCAGTGTCCATATGTATGGGGCCTTTTTTATGCCCTTTTTTATCGAAAATTGAATGTCCCTATGTCGTATTGTCCTCATGTCAATGTGTCCGCATGTTGGGGTCTCTCTGTGGATACCAAAAAAAGCGCACATCCCTATCGGAGCTGAGCAGCATCAGTTATAGTTGCATAATGCTGCGTGTTTTTTTTTTTCCTCCCGAAACATGAATTATTTTTGCAATGTGCAGCTGGTGATCTTGCCATGAGCTGTTGCGCTGACTTGACCCGATACCCTGGATTCGGAAGTGGTTTTCGCATCGCTAGAAAGACTATATGTTTTGAGTATATGAAGGGACTCTTCACCTGCAATGGTCATCAGTGATTCTTTGAATTTCAAAGCATCATCATTTGCTGACTTCTGCAAAATCTACAGTTCACCTTGTTGGTCCAATGCCTGGTGCACTTCAGATCATCAATAATCAGAAGGGCGGTCAAATTGCATACTACAATGGCTATTTAGAAGAAAATTACATGGAGAGCATCAGTGACAGTGAGGAAGAGGCAGCAGAAGGCAATTTGAAGATGATTATTGAAGTCCTCAGATGGTATTGAATGATTGGCCTGGGTCATTCCTTGCCATTGTTCCATTTTCTGGTTCCGACGTCTCGAGTTTCGAATCGCAAATCACGAACAAGAATACAATCAATTCAGCTACGAAAAATTAAATTGGAGAAGGACGCATCAAATATGTCCTATTCATTATGTTGGTACTGTACCTGATGGTTGAGACTTTCATTTTACAATTTCGCGCATGGTTTTTGGTGCTACGATGTTGAGTTAAAAATTGATTGTATCTTCTTGAAGTCTGAAGAGGTTTCCGATCGATTTTCTGATGCACTCCATTGCAAACAGTCATCTGCATTTTTTTTTGCCTTCCATCAAATCAAAAATCAATTAAGGAGGGGGGTTTCAGATTTTTTTATGGGATAATGCCACAAAATTGGAATTTTCATGATTAGATTGCATTTCCTTCTCTAGAAAAGTTCTTTGTTCTCTCGTCACAGCAAACAGAGCGCATGAAATTCGAAGATGATCAACCCGAGAAATACGTCGATCATCTTATTCTTCGGAAATCGAGAATTAAACATATATTATTTTTCATTTAGTGTGAATCAGCGCTTGAGTTTTCCATGATTTTCGGCAAATGGAAACGTTCGGATGAAACAATGATGATTTGCAAAAGTTAAAGTTAATCTACAGTATATGCTTTGAAATTTGGATAAGATTTCACTCAGCGGTTGGATCTGAAGGAATGTCCTCCCGATAATTCGATAATTATTACTGCAATTAAATGCCGTGATATTATTCTTTTTGATGACTGGCCCGATGTTTTGTTCAGGTAGCTTCTTTCATGAAGAAAGCTCAAATTGATCCCGGTTTTTATTCTCAAATCATTGCAATGTTTTTTTCTCGATACAAAGTCGAACGTCAACTCTTCTGCTGTCCATAGGTACCTGAGTAATCGATTGTTCATCACAGTACCGTGTTAAGTACTGTGATGACTTCACAAAACTTTCGTTTGTGAGTTTTCATATTTAGGAACTGAACTTCTAGGAAAATAACACACTTTTTCCATATCATCGCGGACAATACATGCAGCTGTGTAAGCTTTGATTTTAGAAATACTGTAATCAGCTATACTTATTTTCATGAGTTTCTGAAGGACCTCGGAATCACTCTCCAGCTTGTGAAAGGAATCATCAAGCAAAAAGTCGGTTTATCCCAGCTTCAGCCTTGTCTTCTGAAGAAGAAAACATTTCTTAGAACTTAAAAGACATGAAATTAAATTGAAATTCGAATTTCATGATTCCATTTGAAATGTGTTGAAGAATGCGTGTCGTGGGGAATCATAGTTTCATCTTCAAAACGGTTGCCATAACATCTGCAAAATACATAATGTGAAACAGGGCTGGTGGTTTTTTTGTTTGTTTGTTGGGTAAAGCATGTTTTTATGAATTTGTTTTTCAGCTCAATCACATTCTGTTTCAATTTGTAGTTTTTCAAACTTTCAAGTGTCATCAAGTTGAATGGTGGGTGCATGTGGGGGCATCTGTATGTCGGCGGGTCTCACTGTATTCCATGAAAAGGCAAGTAATCCCAGTCCGAGTCCGGAATTGCGTTGCAAAAGACTTCTCCGTGCAAAGAATGGAATAAAGAATGCCCGAGGGGACCACCTTGTAAGTAGAAGAAGATGAGTGGGAATGCCCTGCTGGACATGACATGGGTCCTATGGTGGGAAGCAGCATCTTGATGAGACAGTGAACAAGCTCCGTGGTCACGCGATTATCCACGGAATTGGATATAAAAAAATAAAAAAACAGTCTTCATCCCTCGACCAGCCAGCTGTTGTTGTTGTTGTTGTTGATTCCTGAAAAAAGGTGCTAGTACAAAAAGCCCCGCTGTTGCCATGTCATAGAGAAGCGAAAGGAATTTTGTGTCTGAGATTCCTGTACATGTTCTTACTGCTTGGGCCATGTGAA